GTGGGCGGTGGGGGGCAACGGAAGGGATGCGGCTCTCTCCTCCCTCAAGAGGCATCCTCTTCTTTGGGTTTTTTCTTGTAGTCACTTGTTCCTCCCTCCCCCCGCTTACAGTCGTGCCCAGGTGTACTGATGACTGGTGGGGGTGTAGGTCGTGGTGTGTGGTCAATGCTGACAAGGACACCTGCCTCTGGCCTCACCAGTCAACTGCTGACCAGACCCCTGTAGATGTTCTTCATTTCTGCTTTGGGATCCTTCCTTTCAGCGCCCTCCTGTCCTTCTGTGTAGAGTGAGATAGGGCAAAATGTATGTTTTAACCCCACCTAACAGTGAGGTCCCTGGGTGGTGCGAATGGTTGGCGCTCAACTACTAACCTAAAGGTTGGGTGTTTCAAACTCACCCGGTGGCGCCACGGAAGAAAGCCTTGTTGATCTGCTTATAGAAAGATTGCAGCCAAGAAAACCCTATGGAGCAGTTCTACTCTGTAACACATGGGGTCGCCACGTGTCAGAATGGACAGGCAGGCAACAGGTTTGGGGTTTTGTTGGCGTTGTTTTTACCTAAAGGTATAAATCTGCAGTCAAAGAGCCACTTAGTCATTAGTCCTAAAACTGAGCAAATGCTTCCTCTCTCCTTAACTGGATTTAAACTCCTAGGAGGCAGGAGCTGGGTCTCATCTCGTTGAAGCCTTTCCATAATGAGTGATTTGCGTATAAACAGTAGATGCGGTCCTCATGGTAGATAGAAAGAGCTCATGCTTTGGAACCAAACAGATCTGGGTCTGAATTCTACCCATCCAAGTCTCTTAGGCCTCCCTGAGCCTCAGTTTTCTCATCAGTACAATGGGTATAAGCGTTCACCTAGCACTGTGATTGTGAGGATCAAGAGAAAACCCATCAGAAGTGCTAAGCACAGGCCAGCACATAACGGACCTCCGAGATCTAAGGGGCAAACTTCCTCCCCTCCCTGACCTCAAATTTCCCCAAGTTCAGCAGTCACTCAGGAAGACCCAAAACAAGGAATTTGTAATGGTAGAGCCCATCTAGTATGGCTCACCTCTCTTTTTTTCTCAAGCTGTGAGAGAAGAAAACCTGCAGCTCTGGGAAAATTTTCAGTCAATACATAGTCAACCCCACTTATGTCACAAACATGAAACTGAAATTCAGGTGTGGGTGTCTGGCCTGTCTTGTTGATCATAATACCCAGCTGATGAGAGCGTGGGAAAATTGAGCTATGATATACCTTTCTCTTGAATAATAAAGTTGAACAGCCTGTTTGGAGGTCAGTTTGGTAGCATCTATCAAACATTAAAAGGTTTATGTCCTTTTAGACCAAGGAATTCTTCTAAAGAAAGCTACCTGCCTTATCATCACAAATGCACAAAGGATGTTCCCCGAGGCAACTTTTGTAATAACTGGATGCTGGAAACAACTTTAATGTCCATGGTTGGGGACTGATTGAATCAGGGTGGTCCGACGTGACCTTGGAACACTTAACTCTGCAGACACTAGAAAGAAGGAATGCCCTTTGAGCGATGGAAGTGTTTTGGAACTAGACAGAGGTGGTGGTGGCACAACATTGTGAACGGCCTAAAGCCACTGAGTTGTTCACTTTAAAAAGTCTGGTTTGATGTATGGGAACTTCACCACAATAAAAAAAATTTTTTTAGAGAATGAATTTTATATACTAACGTGGAAAGATATCTTGTTGAGTGAAAACGAGAAAACACTTGTTTCCTGTGAATGTTAGCAAATGCATCAGAAAAGCCTGGAAAGATGTAGAACACACTGAACAGTGGTTACTTCTGGGAAGTGGACTTGGGAAGTAGGGGGACTTGTAGTTAATTCCAAGGAGCCCTGGTGATGCAGTGGTTAAGCACTCAGCTGCTAACCTAAAGGTCAGCAGTTCGAACCCTCCAGCTGCTCCTCAGGAGAACGATGTGGCAGTCTACATCTGTAAAGATTTACAGCCTTGGAAACCCTTTGGGGCAGTTCTCCTCTGTCCTATAGGGTTGCTGTGAGTTGGAATTGACTCGAAGGCCACAGGTTTGGTTTTTGGTTTGTCCTTAATTCCATACCCTTTTGTAATGTATGGAAATTTGAAGTTAGCATAAATTACTTTGAAACTGGTGGTGTGGAGTTTGACATTGGTGGGGGACTGAAAATACAGCGGGGTGGGTTGTTGATTCTCTCAAGTGAAAGTGGAAACTCTCGTTCTGAATCTTCCTTTTCATGTTTTTCTTTCTTTCTGCTCTTTAACTCCCACCCCGCTGGCACCAGAACCACAGGCTGGAGGGAGTGACGCAATGACTCACTGCGCTCGTTTTGACCTTTCAGTGCCTGTGGTCAATCCCGTGGTTAATTGATTCTCTCAGTACCAAGGATCTGCGTGCGTGAGGAGTCTGGTCACTGTTTAAGGGCCTGTTTTTCAAGACATCACGAGGATTTGGGAGGCCCTTGTTAGTGAGCTGCATGTTTGGTGCATGCACTTTGTTGATCTCCTAGTAAGCTGGTCCAGCGACGCCGATGAGTTCATTAGGGAACCAGGAGCTGTGCTGGCCTGAGGATCTCCTGGTGCTCCTTGCAAACAGTGCCAGCTTCCTGCTCCCTCACCGCTGCGCTACTACCCTGAAGCCCCTTGGCGGTTTCCTTTACAATGTCCGTTTATCCATTCTTCCTAGATTATACGAATTTGTAAACTAGGACAAAAATCACCTATAATATTATCACAAAAACAAAATAATTTTGTGGCATTCTCTTCCTATCTTTGCTCATGTGTGCTTTTTTTTGCATAATTATAAAGTGTTTATATAGACTTTAATCCTCATTTTATTTTTACTTACATCAAAAGCATTTTTTAGCTGTTAAATCGTCTCAGAATTGTTATAATAGTTGGATAATATTTCATCAAGCTGGTGAATTATAACTCATTTAACATTGCCCTTAGCTTGGATTAAAAAAAAAAGCCACTGCTGTTGAGTCGATTCCAACTCATAGTGACCCTATAGGACAGAGCAGAACTGCCTTATAGGGTTTCCAAGGAGCAGCTGGTGGATTCAAATTGCCGACCTTTGGTTAGCAGCCAAGCACTTAACCACTGCACCAGTAGGGCTCTTTAGCTGGGATAGTTCTCTTTAAAACGTGTTTACTTTCTTGAATTTTATTGTTGAATCTCAGTATTTGGAAGCTATCTTAAAATGTCTTAGTGATGATGATTTAGATGTCATATGCAAAATTAGCTCCTGCCTGCTGGAAGTTTATAGTTCAGAGCAGATGGCCAATAACTATATAATGTGATTATTGCTATAGCAGAAGTATGTCCAGATTGCTCTGGGAGAAGGTGGGAGAGCATTGGTGAGGGCTTCCTGGAGGAGGTGATGTTTGAGTTGTGTCCTGAGGACAGTTAGCAGTTAGCCAGCTGGGAAGTGAAAGAAAAGTATTCTGGGCAGAGAAGAATGTTTAAAGGAGGAAGCACAGAGGGAGGGCTCATGGGTGAGTGGTAGGAGGAGGTGATCCTAGATCTGTGGATAGGTAGACTGCAGTCAGATTACAAGAGGCTTTCTGTACCAGAGCTGGAACTTCATACTGAAGGCCACAGGGAGCCATGACAGAGAGCACTTGCTAAATAAGAACGAGGTTTTGAGTATAGCAATACTGCATTGCTTTGGCAGAGTTTCCAGTAAGTGTGCTGAAATCTTCTAGGATGAAGACTGAATATGGTGCACTCAACTTTCTTCCCGATCATTTGCATTTGTCATGACGATGAATGATGAATAGTATGGTGATAGCATGTTTCAGGCACAGAGGTGGACGTTGTTTTATTACACCACCCAGTATCTACCAGGGCCTCTTTGGAAAATTAAGAACTACCTCAAAGACGGAGATCATTTGCTGCCAAGATGGTATTCAGTATCTGTATTAGTTAGGACTTTTTGAGTTGATGGAATCCCAGCTGATATTAAAGTAAACAGAAAGGGAAATATATTAGGCCGTGTAACGAAAACACCCAAGAGTGGCTCTTCCGGCTTCAAGCACAGTGGGATCCAGGCACTCAAACAAAGCTTGCTCATTCCCTCCCTTCCTCCCCAACCCCTGGTCTCTCCTGCTTCATCTTCCCTTCCATGTGTCCTTGCATTCTCTCCTTCAGCAGACAGACTTTTCCATGTGACCAGAGTTACTGCAAGAAGCTCCTACTTAGGTTACCTCTTGAGCTCATGAGTGCAAAAGAAGAAAAGACTCTTTGTCTCTTTCTCCCATGAATCATGTAGCAAATCTCAGGGAACACTCTGATTGGCTATACTTGGGATATATCCCCATCCTGAACCAGGGTGGTGGAGTACTCTGAATGGTCAGGACTGGGCGCTCTCACCCAAACCATGTGAAAGGTGGTACCCAAGGATAATGGGATTCTGTTCCTAGGAGGAGGGGAAGGAAGGGAGTACTGAATGTATTTTTTTTTTTTTTTTTAAAAAAAAAAAAGAAAAAAAAAGGACATCCACTACTGTTGTGAAGAGGGGGAGTTTTCCACTGGAAGATAACAGCGCCAGTAGCTTATCTGAGTTCTGCCTTTGTGCGTGAGTTTGGCCGGCATGTTCTGGTGCTGTGGTACATTTGGTACCAAGGCTGCACAGGACGGAGACTCCCAGCACGTGTGCGAAAGTAGCCTGCGGGGGAGTTTTCCACTGGAAGATAACAGCGCCAGTAGCTTATCTGAGTGCTGCCTTTGTGCGTGAGTTTGGCTGGCATGTTCTGGTGCTGTGGTACATTTGGTACCAAGGCTGCACAGGACGGAGACTCCCAGCACGTGTGCGAAAGTAGCCTGCTGTCCAATTTTCCTTGGCACGTAGGCTCAAGACAATGCCCTGCTTCCCAAAGGCCTTGTGGCAGTGTCCTCCCTTTCTTGTGAATGTGTGATTTATGTTCTGTCAGTGGCAGGAAGCTGCTCAGATGACCCACCCAGTCCCGCTGCTGCCCCCGTGATGGTTTGTTTTTCTCATTGTTCAGCGCTCCATCAGCTTCCGCAGTGAGAGCCGGCCTGACATCCTTGCCCCCCGACCCTGGTCCAGAAATGCCACCCCCTCAAGCACAAAACGAAGAGACAGCAAGCTGTGGAGTGAGACCTTCGACGTGTGTGTCAATCAGATGCTCACATCCAAGGAAATCAAACGTCAAGAGGTAGGCTAGGGGCCCGTGGAATTGGCGATGTGTTTTGAACAAAGGCAAACAAAGAAGCCACACTGTGGCCCATGCCGCGGTCCCCAAATCATTTCTTCATTGCATTTGTAGAAGGAGGACAAATGGGGGTGTCAGGGCTTGTGGAAGGAACTGAGAAATCAGCGTCCAGCTGGGTGGGAACTGATGTGAAAATCTGAAATTACTAAGAAGACGAATTAGGAAGTGCCTGCGTAGGTTCCTGGAGTTCACGAAGATAATCACTTTAGTTACATTTTGGTGGTAACTTCTGACAGGTTGACCAGTTGCCATTGAGTTGATTCTGACACACGGGATGCCATGTGTGTCAGAATAGAACTGTGCTCAGTGGTGTCTTCAGTAGCTGATTTTTCAGAAGTAGATCACCTGCTCTTTTCTTCCAAGGTGCCTCTGGGTGGACTCAAACTCCAACCTTCTGGTTAACAGCGGAGCACATTAGCCGTTTCACCACCTAGGGACTCCAGCAACTTCTAGGATATTTTTAAATATTCAGTTTATGAAACTTTGATTGATTTAGCTTTGTGGAAAACTTATTTTCTATGGAATTAGGTTATTTTCATTCCCTGTAAGGTTTCTGTATCGATAGCCCTAAGTGGCTATTGTAATATTATCTGTTATAAAGGCCTTGCTGTGTGCCAGGCTCTGCTAAACACTTCTTATATGCATCATCTAGGGAAGATTCTCGGGGTATATATTTTTTGTGGAGAACCTGACATTGGCAAAAGGGGGTACTTGAAAGTTTCCTAGATTCTTTTTGATTCAGCAGTTCTTTGCTAAGAATTTATCTGCCAGGCCTACCTGTGTACATGTGAAAAGCTGTATGTGCAAGGTTATTTACTACAGTAATGTGTATAAATATACTAGTGTGAAAAGAGCCTGACATCTCTTACTAGAGGCTGCTTAAATAATGAGTGTCCGTGCATGGAATACTACACAGCTGTAGAAATACATGAAGAAGTGCTGATACGGATGTATGGCTAGGTGGACAAAGCAAGACATGAGATAGGGTACATTATGTGCTGCCGTTATATAAAAAAGAAAGAAAAATGTATGGGTGTGTGTATGTACACATTAGCTTGTAGAACCATAAAATATTTCTGGAAGGACATACAAGGAAATGGCAAGGTCATTGCCTTCTGGGAGGGGATCTGGGTGGCTAGAGGAAGGAGATGGAGGGGAAAGCTTACACCATGTGCCCATTTGTGCACTTTAAATTCTGAACCAGGTAAATGCATTATCTATCAAAAACTGAATAAAGCACTTAAAAATAATAGATGCACTGAAAAATTCCTGGGAAGAAATAGGGCAAAATCGTAACAATGGTTAACAAGATGGTATTATAGATAGTTTTAAATTTTCTTCTTCATGCTTTTCTGTGTTTTCCCAAGTATTAACAGTGTATGTATATAACTTGTATAATCTGATAGAGGAAAGACAAGCAAGATGAGAGAGGGAGAGAGAAAACGAGAATCAATGAATACGTAAATTAATATGACTGAATTAATTCTGCAGATGAGGAAATTATTAAGGTACCTTGAGTAAAAGGCCATCTGCTAGTAAGTTAGAGAGTCAGGATTTGAAACCATCTTTCGTCCTCCAAGGCTCACAGTCTTCATGGGACACTGTGCAACCCCACCGCAGCCACCTGACTGCGTATTTTGTGTTTCCCAGTGTTGCGTTCTGTGGTTTTCCTCTTCTGGGACCACATCATGTGATTAGTCTCTAGTAAATAGACGTCTGAGGAAATCTGAGGAAGGTTCAAGTAAAGTCTAGTTCATTGGATTGTACCATTCCATTCCCTGGTTTTGATAATGCACCATAGTTAGTCAGGATGCCACCACTGGGGGAAGCTGGGTGAGGGGTACACGGGGCCTTGCTTTACTATTTTTTGCAACTTCTTATAGGTCTATAATTATTTCAAAATAAAATTTTTTTTTTTTTTTTTTTTTAAATAGAGGACCAGGAGGGCCTGACATGGAGGTCCCTTTGCGCTCCCCTCCAGCCCAGCCTTCTGCCTCTGCCTGCTTTGTCAGAGAGCACACTCATTGTTCTCCGTTCTGCCAACCCCTGAGATGGAGTTGTACCCACAGCCTGCTGGCTTCATCTCACTAGCCTGAAAGATATGCGGTGGTCCCTGAACTATCTTTACAAACTTGCAATTCTTTAATAATGTCATGTTTGCCAACAGTTTTGACTCCCAGATAAAAATGAGCATTCTTCACATGATTGCTTTTTAAATTATGATGGCTTAGTAGACCCAAATTAGAAACAGTCCATTTACACACTCTTGCACGGCAGCCGGCTCCTCTTATTTTATTTATTGTACCTTGTGGGGTTGAGAAGTAATTTAGAATGAATTAACTTTGCCAGTCATTTAGAGTGATAAAATATTGGATTCCTCATACAATCCTAGCCTCAAGACAAGTAGCTGATAGGAGTAAAACTTTCTGCTGAGATTCACCTTCTGTTGAAGGAAGACAAATGTGATGCCCAATTAATAATCCTGCCATGTGCATCTCTGAGACCAAAAAAAAGGAAAAGAAACAAACCCATTGCTGTTGCGTCAGTTCTGACTCATAGCGACTCAATAGGACAAAGTAGAACTGCCCCATAGGGTTTCCAAGGCTGTAAATCTTTACAGAATCAGATTGCCACATCTTTCTCCCACGGAGCAACTGTAGATTCGAACTGCTGACCTTTCAGTTAGCAGCCAAATGCTTTAACCATTGCACCAGCAAGGCTCTTCGGAGAACAGACCCTGAATCATATCTTATGATTGCCACTCAAAGACATGGACTCCCTGGCCCCAACTGTCATTATTTTACCTTAAAGAGTTCCCTCTTATTTGGCTGCATCAAAGTTCTGTAACACGAACAATGACTCGTTGAATTAGAAACGTGTGGAACCTCTTTTTCCCACCAACAGAGAAGCATGTTATAGAGAAGTTTTGCACAATCTTTTCTTTGAGGTTTTACCCACTAGATGCATTTGCTGCAGGTTAACTTTTCCAGGTGCACTGGTGGCGCAAATGGTTAAGCTCTCAGCTGTAAACTGAAAGGTTGGTAGTTAGAAGCCACCCAGCAACTCCGTGGGAGAAAGACCTGGCCATCTGCTCCTGTAAAGATTACAGCCAAGAAAACCCTGTTCAGCAGTTCTACTCTGTCATATGGGGTGGCTATGAGTCAGAATCGACTTGACGGGCCCTAACAACAACAACTTAACTTTTAAAAGACAGAAATGAGTAGATTTGGGGCTTCAAGGACTAGAACCATCACTGTTTGGAGCTGGTCTCCTAAGCAAAGGGAAAGTCCAGTGAATGCGTTTTGTCTTTCCTTACAGGCCATCTTTGAGCTTTCTCAAGGAGAAGAAGACTTGATAGAGGACTTGAAATTAGCAAAAAAGGTAAATTTAAATCCAGTGGTCATCTGAGTCACCTCACGTTCTTTCCTCTGAGTAATCTCGCAAGACTGTGCTTTATGAGCACCCTCTTTATGACTAAGAGGGATCAACAACTGAGAAGACCTGCCACCCTGAACTGAGCAGTGGGGAAAACAGCTCAAAACAAGAAGGTGGAATAGCTCTCTGGACCAGGCACCCTTAGGGGTTCTTCTCTGCATATCTAATGCACCTCAAAGAATACTTAAGTTTAAATGAGAAAAGTGCTTATGGAGGCTTGCTGTACAGTTGGTTGTCCTGGAACCCTCAGATGCAGGGCCTCCTTATCAGTGGGAGAGGGGACGTGGATGTCTCAGCTTACAGCTATGCCTTAGAAATAAAGTCACTGAGTCCCAAAAGTGGATGAAGTGGTTAAGTGAGGCAACTGCAAACTGTTGTGTATATTGGGGTCTTTTATATGGAAATTTGTTTTTTAATCACATGGGACTCATGCCCCTTGACAATAAACCATCCTCAGAAACCTTTCCATTCACCTTCTGGCCTGGAGATGAAAATCCAGACTCTTTCCTCTAATATTGACGGTCTCCTCGGAGAATCACAGGGTTGGAAGAGTGCCTCCTTTCCTTCAGGGTCCTTGGTCCAGCCTTCTGCTGATGTGAAGCCTCATTTGTAGCATTCCTGTGAGATGGGCATCTAAGCTTTGCTTGGACACAGCCAAGACACTGGGTGTTAGGCAGGGCTGGAGGAGGAGGAGGGAGAGGACAAAGAAGGCATCTACCTCTGGGAGAAGTCTTGCTGGTCGTGTGTCCAACTCCCCTTTCCTGCATCAATGTTTCCCAGATCCAGCTGCCTTACGATGTTTTACGCGCATGGTGATCTTACCTTACTAGTCCTTTCCTTTTCCTTTCAACCATTCAAATCCACGCATCTTGCAGGAACCAGCGCACATCTCACTTCATTCTTCATCAGCATGTATTGCCACCGCCTGTGTACCGGGCAGCTCATCTTCAAAACCTCCCTCGACTACTCCAGCCTCCAACCATCTCTGACCCTCTAGAGCAGTTACGATTTGATCATTTTTGCTGCTATGTGACATCTCTCCTTGAACTACTTTTTAAACTTACAATTTTCCATGTGCTTTTTTTTTAATCTTCCAAATCAGCTTTAAATTCCTAGAAGGCAGCGACTGTCCGCTGAGTCTTTGTACGCCGTTACCCATACCTGTTGCCGTAGAGTCGATTCCAACTCATAGCGACCCTATAGGACAGAGTAGAACTGTCCCATAGGGTTTCCAAGGAGCGGCTGGTGGATTCGAACCGCTGACCTTTTGGTTAACAGCCCTAGCTCTCAACCACTGTGCCACCAGGGCCTCATGCTATTACAGTGCCCTGCATAAAATTTTGTGTTATTGTTGTTTAATTATTGTTAGTAACAGATGGTAGGGCTGGTGGCCAAGGTTTTGGCATCTTTGCTTTGAATCAGTAGTAAAGGGTGCTAATCACTTTTTCTTTTATTTTTTTAAACTAGGGGTCAATTGAAAAAGATCCTGCTGATAACTTGTTTTGTATGAAGTAGGAATTTTTCAATCTGTAGGATCTTCAGTGAAGTTGATTTTTTAAACATTATACCAATCAAATCTGCTCTGCATAGAAGATTTGTGCCCCTCCCTAGATGTATGATATACTAAAATTAAAAAGGTGTTTTTTTTTTTTAAATCTGGTTTGTTTTTCAACAAGCACAGAAAGCTCAAGGCAGTACTGGACTCTCATCCCCTGTAGTCACACCCGTCTGCAGCATTGTGGGAGAAGTTGTTGGGGACAGTTGTTTTGTTATTTGCAGGGACTCTCAGGAGCCATTTACCTTTCTCACTTACGTGCTCACGTGTTAAAGGTTTGCCTCCATCTCTTGCCTTTCTTGTGCAGGCCTATCATGACCCCATGCTGAAACTCTCCATCATGACGGAACAAGAGTTGAATCAGATTTTTGGAACACTGGACTCTCTAATCCCTCTACATGAAGGTATAATTTTGTTCCCAGAGTGAGTCTAGACTTGTAGCCTTAACTGAGTTGTCTTATAATGAGTCAGTGATTATGTAATAATATGAGTAACCCAGAGCCTACTTCCAGCCTGTTCATATTTGAATGCCTAACACAATAAGCGTTCTGCTTGTTTGTTTTTTGCCAGATCTCCTTAGTCAGCTTCGAGATATTCGGAAGCCTGATGGCTCAACTGAGCATGTTGGTCCCATCCTCGTGGGCTGGGTAAGAAAAGTCTCTGGGGTTGCTTGAAGGTCACTTTCAGTAACTTAGATGGACTTTCATTTTATCTAGATATTTTAATAGGCAAATATGGGTTTCACATCAGAAAAAAAATAGCAAATTCCTAGTAAAAATTATATTTAGGTTTTAGGTCTTCAAAGCATGAAAAAAAATTTATGTAAATTTACTGTATTTAAAGATAATCTGGCCGTTTTGCAGTAAAATAAGTAAAGACATACCTGAAACTATTATTTTCACATCAAACAAAGTAAAACTAGTTAATGTTCAATTCAGGCCAATTACTAACATAATTATTACCATTTCTATTCCAGTAAAAATTGATGGACACATTCTTGTCTGTCACCAAAAAAGCTTCTGGTCAGCCTTAAAAAAGAAAAATCTCATGGTCAAAATGTTCCATAAACAAGGTAATAACTAAACGTTGCTAATGTTTAGCATATACCCGATCCTAAGTATCTTCAGAGGAGAGCTGGGTATATGCTGACCTTCATCTCAGCTTAACCCATTTGCCTTTTCTAATTAAACAAAGAAATGCTCTGAGACACTAGGTTGAAGGGTTATAAGTTTATGGTCCTGAGGCTGAATTTGTCTTCTATTGGATGGCATAATATTGTCAATTGTTTAATTCGCTTTAGACAAGACATGCGTGTGCTCTGTGTTGCTGGGGTCCCCTACTCCCTATTCCTCCTCTGAGCTCTTGTGTGTTCACCCCAGCTCCAGGTGTTTGTCATTTGTTATGAAGCAGGTAGTGAAAGCAGACTATTTTGATGACTTCTTCCAGGCAGGATTAGGTCTCTCGTCCTCTGATCCACACAGTGTTCCAGAAAAGTAGGCAGGAAGTGCCATGACAGCAAGTATTAGAGATTATTTCTCTGTTTGGAGAGTGTTGTGAATGTGTGAATCTTGGTGTTGCTATGTGCATTCTCTTTATTCAATTATACTTGTATTTTAACCTTCCTAAAACCCAGTTGGTGGAAACGGTTAACCCAGTAGGCTGCTAACTGAAAGATTGTGGGTTTGAGTCCACCCTGAGGTGCCTCCAAAGAAAGGCCTGGTGATTTACTTCCAAAAAAATCATCCATTGAAAACCCTGTGGAGCACAGTTCTACTCTGACATACATGGGGTCGCCATGAGTCAATCAACTTGACAGCAACTGGTTTAACTGTGAAAACCCAGTTACTTTGTCTCGATGCCATATGGACGTGCAGAAAGCTTTGGCATTGCTCTCTTAGTTTAACTTATGCTTCTTGATTACTGCCTTGATTAAGAAACTTTGAGGATTTCATGACTTGAATTGCTTTAGCCTGGGCTGAGTCAGTTTTAGCACTGAAACTGAAATATCCCAAGGGTATCTAAAAGGCAGGTAATGTTCTAAGATTTAGAAAATGAGCCTTAATATTTCAGGAGAGATTATTCATCTTCTATTTTTGACTTTCATTTTATTATGAGCCATGGTCTATGTTTTAACTTCTTCAGCCCCCAAAGAAATAGTCTGCAAAGAGAGCCAGGCAGCTGGAGACAGAGGGAATAATGAGAAGAGGGTCTGCCTCAATATTTCTTAAACTTTCTGAGTCTGGACTGCTTTGATGGGATGGAGTACGGGGCAGTAAGGTTCCACTCCAGAATTAGCATAGTGACTGCTGTTTTAGGACAGGACAGCAACGTAGACCTACATGGTTTCTTTAAGTATCATATTCAAATTGTCAATTTGTGCAAGAAGCAAAATCGTAGGAATATGCATTTTTATTAATTGTTTCTGAAGTAAATGCTTGTCACTTTTATTAGGAAATTTGTTTTGATCTGGGGACATCTTTGGCAGTCCTTTTCCGAACATACCCAAAGCAAGTGTGTCCATGCTGGTTCATTTTTCTCTGGACCCTTCAGACATCAAATGGGGACTTGCAGCTTGAAGAGAAGCCTGTAATTAAACAAGTGACCTCTGTTAGCAGACCTCAGGAGAAACAGCCCTTATTTATCAGGACTGATGAGCTGTTAAACGTTTTCCTCTTTTAACTGCAGATGTGTCCATTCGAGGGGGAACTGTAACCAAAGGGTACATCTGTTTGAGTTCTGGTCTTTTTAACAGAACAAAATAAACATCTTAGTGGACTTCGAATGAGAAAAGTCAGAGCCCATTCGACCCATGAAAAATTGATTTATTTCCCCCCAAAGGGAAAAAAATGAAAAAACCCTTTTAAACAAGCGAGCCTCCCAAGTGGGACAGCCCTGGCCAGTCCTTTTGACCTTCGAATGAATCAATTACTTTTACTTTGAAGACCTTAAACAGAAGAGTTGCTTTTTTCCCGGGAACCACCCTGGTTACTAAGGATCAGCCACCCTCCCCACTAACCCACCCGCCTCAGGCAGGTAAGCTGTTGGAGTAAGCCTTCCCTATCAGAAAGAAGTGGCTCCCCAGGTGACTTAGCATCGCGCTGACGGTTTTTTAAGTCATAAAATAATATTTGGCTCTCCAAGGCATGTTCTCATGTTAATTTGGGTTCTAATTAAATTTTAACTTCAAAGAGAGAGGCAGGGTACATGGAAGCAAAAGAAAAAGATTTCTTCTCTCTCTTTTCACAGTGTTAGGGAGATATAGTTTTTAAAAAAGTGAGAGAATTTCCCTTAGGAATTCTTGACAGCCTATTTAAAAAGATATGAGTGGCTCAGAGCTTTGGCCGAGGAGGAGAACAGGCTTCAGACGCTAGTTCTGTCTCCAGCTGAGCAAGTACTTTGCTTCTGTAAACCAGTTTCTTAAAAAAAAATTCTAAGGACAAATAATAATGATACTTGAACTTACTAATTTTTTTTTTTTTTTTTTTTTTACCATGGGCCAAGCTCTGTGCTATACATTGTTTATCTTATCAAGGGAGAGGAGGACATTAGTATATGCATTTTATAAGTGGAGAAACTGAGGCTCAGAAGGGTCACCCAACTAGTTAGTGTCTGAGTTAGCTTTGAATCTGATTCTGTTTGACTTCAGGGTCAATACTCTCAGCCACTGCATTATCACCTCTCACTGACTTCCTCATTTACTATAATAAGTGAGTGGTTATGTATTTTGGAACCAAGATGTGTACACTCTTCTTCATCACCTGTCAAGGTAGAGATCACTTGTGGCTTTTTCACTCCAGTGGGCTGAACGAGAGAGCCTTTCAGGTCTTGTCCAGAAACAGCACCCTGTCAGGTGTGAACACAGGACCACAGCCTGATGAGGTTGCCATGGCAGCCAGGCGGCAGGATCAGAGAGATTAACGGCCCATTGGACAGTCAGTAGCCGTGTGATAGAGGCTAGTTTACATCCGATGGTTACTGCGGATTTGTTTCTTCATAACGAAGTCACTGGGCATTTCCAGGTCCTTTTAAAAGGCAAGGAAGTGGAAACAAAATTAAGAGGCCTTGAGGCCCTTTTTAATTAACTCTGAAAATCTAAATTATAAGTCACAACACCCCATCTAGGGTATGTGTGTGTGTAAGTACTAATTATCATTACTTTCAAATATGAGGTTTGAGAGAAGAATTTCTGCAGCTTTTTTAAAACACAAATAGATGTTCTTACAACATTTAAGGAAGGTAGACATTTCCAAGGAATGTTAAGCTCGACAGTGAACTCTTAAACGTTACTTCCCTGCTATGTTTTTTTTTTGTTTCGGTCACTGAGAAAATAATTTCAATAAGAGGTATAAAAGACGCAGCAGAATGCCACCACATTTTATTTTTAAACAATGTTCCCAAACCATCAGTTATAATCTAACCTGGTAATCCAGGACACGTTCATTTATTTGCTCATTCGGAGCACAAACTTCAAATGTCTGCTGTATATTAGGCCCAGTGCAAAGTATTGAGGATGAAGAAATGAAAGACACCATCTTGCATGGAATCCCTCCACAAAGCAGATGTCATAGTGAATGTAGCTTCCTATTCCAAGGGAGAAACAACATCAGCCAGGCCATTGGCCACATATAATTGTCTGTGGTCGCTTCCTGGAGGCTGACAGCCCATGTATTAGGATGCTGAGCCTAGGTGCTGTCTAATAGGGAGGGGTGCAAATGGGGGCTAAACAGCCATTTCATTGAGTCACTGGCACTGTGTTTGCACAATGTGACTGATGGGATATGTCAGGGATTAGCATTTTGCTGGAAGGAAGGCAGTGGAGTTGAAATATTCTGCAGTCTTGAAGCTTAAATTGTCCTTTGCTTGTTATTGTGGTGTTAACCATTAAGAATAGCCAAGAATCGTTCTTGGCATGTCAGAGCTAATTTAAGAGATTTTTCTAAATGCTTCCTGAATCTGATTTTTCACTAATCATACTTTTGCGTTAATATCTTGGGGCCCTTTGTAATTGGGCCGCCCTGGAGTCTTAAACTAATGTAGAGGCGCTTGTAGGGAGCCCTGCAAAGGGCTGGGCTATGGATTCTGGCCGCTTGCTTTCTTTTTGTGCCACTAAGTCTTCTAAATGAGTTTCTTGTGACTAATTTTAATAGAAATCGTCTAAACCTAAGAGGTTCTTCTCTCACCAGATACTTTTGGAAGGTTAGGACAATTCTGCACTGTAAGCATATCCAGTAATTCCGGTTCTTTCATTTTTAGCTTAAGTTGGCAGAAAATGCAAGTGAACCGTGAAATGGGTCTTAACAATCAAGAAAGTAAATGTGCAGCTAAGAAAATCAGTTAGCGTAAGGAAGCCAGAGCCTAGGAAAGCTGTCCATTGCCTGCCATTTTGAAGAATTCCTCTGGTCTCCTCCAGCCATGCAGAGAAAGGAATGTTGGCCAGGCCTGGAGACCAGTTAGATGTTTGTTCAGTCCCCAGGAGTGATGCTAGCTTGCAGCTTTAGAGCTCATTTTAACACTCCAACCTTCTTTTGGTTTTCTGTTCCTAGCTGCCTTGTCTCAGCTCCTATGACAGCTACTGCAGCAATCAAGTAGCCGCCAAAGCTCTACTGGACCACAAAAAACAAGATCACAGAGTCCAAGACTTCCTGCAGCGATGTTTAGAATCCCCCTTTAGCCGCAAACTAGACCTCTGGAATTTCCTTGATATTCCGAGAAGCCGTCTGGTGAAATATCCTCTGCTTCTTCGAGAAATCTTGAGGCACACACCAAATGATAACCCAGATCAGCAGCACCTGGAAGAAGCAGTAAGTTTGTCTATCCTTTCTCTCCTCCCTTGTTATTTCCCACATAATGGTTGGTGGATTGGGTGAATGAGGGAACGGGAGAATTTGAGGGGGATGGGACTCTGGAATCGTGGGTTCCAGGCCTGGCTCCTCCATCAACCACGTTTGAATTTTGCAAGTCACTTCTCCTGATTGTGCCTTAGTTTCCTAACCTGTTAAAATGCATTATTTACTTGAAATGCACTCTAAGATTCTTTGAATTCTAAAATTTCTTGATTCTGTATAGGTGACTTTTAATCCATTTGTTACAACTGCTGACTGTGAGGGTTAGCATCTCTGTGGAGATTTTAAATTGAAGATTTTTGTTTAATTGGAAAAGGGCAGTTGCCTCGTGCTTTAGGCCCAAAGCCCGTTTGTGAGGTCAACACGCATTTAAGATCTAGCTCCCCTCGGTCCCAATTGTAGTGGAGCGTTTAGTCAAACATCCTGCTTACCAGCAGACTGCTCATCCAGCAGTGTTCATTGACTATTGGCTGGGGGACTTGGGAAATATGGATATGGATTCTTCTCTAGCAGCGATTGAAGATCAGGAAGAATGGGGTCTGTATCACGAGAATATTGCAAACTTTGAGCATTCACTCAGCATGTTTCCAACTGGGGTGGCCTGCAGGGCATGGCAGAGGAGACGGTGTACCAGGAGGAGCAAAGTCCTGAGCAAAGGTGTAGAGAAGTGACAGGCAGGTCATGCCTGGGGAGTATCATGGAACAGTCTGTCTGGGATTGAGGATACTCTGAGGCAGCAGCGGAAGATAAGGCAGAGGACGTGGGCTCAGATCTGATTATAAAACCAGTACCTGTTGCCATCAAGTCAATTCATACTTATAGGACCCTATAAGACGGAGTGGAACTGCCCCATAAGGTTTCCAAGGGTGTAATCTTTATGGAAGCAGATGGCCAGGTATTTCTCCTAGGAGCTGCTGGGTGGATTTCAACCACCAACCTTTCAGTTAGCAGCTGGGCACTTAACTGTTGGGCCACCAGGGCTTCTTGTTGTTGTTTGATGCCACTGAGTTGATTCTGACTCATAGTGACCCTATAGGACAGAGTAGAACTGCCCCACAGGGTTTCCAAGGCTGTGATCTTTACGGAAGCAGACTGCCACATCTTACCCCTGTGGCACAGCTGGTGAGTTTGAACTGCTGATCTTTTGGTGAGCAGCCAAGTGCTTCACCCCTGCACCACCGGGGTTCCTCTGATCTGGTTATAGGGGATTTTAAGTATCAATTTGGGAGATGTTTCCTTTATGCTGTAATAAACTGAAGGCTGGCTGGTTTGTTTCCTAAGTAGGGGAGTGTCATGTTCAAGGTGGCATTCACTCACAAGCTTTGTGACCTTGGGCAAGTCACTCCCCTTGTCTGTAGAACAAGGAGATGAAGGAAGAGGAGACTGGTGACTGGGAAGCAGGCTGGGAGGATGCTGCAGTGGTCCAGGTGTGAAGTCGTGGGAATCTGAGCAGGGACGTGGCGGTGCAGATAGCGGCTTAGAGACCAATTCAAAGGGAAAATCAGCAGGGCTTATTCCGTGACTGGATCTGGGATGGTCACAGGAGGAGGAGATGCGTAATAATACCAGCACCCACGGTAATAATAATAATAATGGTATTAGTGGCTGACACTTATTGAGTACCTAGCAAATCACCTTTGTGTATTGCCTTACGGAGATTATATATCTCATTTAATCCTCACAGCATCCTATGAGATAGCTGTTCTTATTGAGACCATTTTCCAGATGAGACTTGGAGGATTAAGGTCCAGAGCCAGCAAATGATGGAGTTGACATTTGAACCCTGTGACTGTAGACTCCACGTTCTGCCCTTTTCCACTTCTCTGTGATCCTATGCCATGGAGCTGAAGGCCTGGCCCCGTCTTTGAGCTGCTTTTGCCTTTGGAATTGAGGAGAGCTGTCTGGCCCCCAGGCTTTGTGGAGATTCCTCAGAGGTACAGAGGTGGGCCAGGTGTCCCCAGGTAGGAATAGAGAAGAATGAGGAGAGACTCTCTCCTGATGCATGAGGTGTTCACCGTGTCTGGCAGCCTGAGGCACTCAGACCAGGCCCCCAGTCCAGCAAAGATGGGGGACACAGGCACCAGGGATAAGGCCGGCTCTCGCTTCATCATGTCTGTTTTTATTTCTGAGAAGACTACGATAGAGTTGCCTCATCTCCGTATTTCATCCAGCAAGTGTGTGGTCTGCAGCAGAGGAACAGCAGGGAGCTTGGACGCGTCTAAATAATTACTATTTTGAAGCATCTGAATCTGTTCTGAGTTTTATTGTAATGATTTCTTCTTTTAATGTGCAACATGAGAGAATACTACTCTTTTTTTTTTTTTTAGCATCCTGTGAGCTAACATTTGAATTTAAAAACAGATAAGAACATGATTGTTTTCAGTGTGAAAGCATATACCAGTAACCAGTTTCCCCAGTGCATGAAACATGGAGCCATCTACAAAGTCTAATCTGCACCTAATTATTCAGGCAGGTCTGTGCATGAAGCACAGTATAGTTGCATTTGAAAGTGTCTGCAAAGCAAGTGATCTCTACACAGTATACCCCACTGCCATCGAGTCGATTCCAGCTCATAATGACCATATAGGACAGAGTAGAACTGCCCCGTAGGGTTTCCAAGACTAAATCTTTACAGAAGCAGACTGCCAATTCTTTTTCCCGCGGATTGGGCTGGCGAGTTCGAACTGCTGACCTTTTGGTTAGCAGCTGAGCACTTAACCACTGCACCACCAGGGCTCCTTCTACAGATAGGCACAGCAATTTGTTTTCCCTCCTTTTTGAAATCCTTATAGCATTACCCTAGACGAGTGGAAATATTTAGCCCTGTACTCTTGGATGCACTGTGAATGTGTGATAAACATAAAACCCACAGTAGCAATGTAGCTTGACTTACATGTTCCCTGAATAAATTTTTCCATCTATGAAAAGGGAAAAATCAGAGCACGCTGAAGAGATTGCCAAGGGAGTTGATTCCATTCAGTCTTGGGATTGGATCTAAAGAAGGGTCTTGCTTTAATGCAATGCATGAATGGCCACATCTTTATTATAATTTAATAGTGTTTTGGAGACTTACTAGAAATTTCCCCCAGAAGAGAGCTTCTTAAAATAAACTTTGGATATTCAGATGTTCTAGAGAACTGGTTGTTTGACATTTTAAATTCTGAGGATTGTTTTGGCCAAAATATGATACTACAGACTATCTCTTCCCCCCACCTCCCACGGTTCCCCAACTGCTTAAAAAAAGACCGCTGGGATCAGCGGAAAGAACAGTCCTGCTTGTGACCCGCCTGCAGGGGAGGCTTGGCTTGTGGCTGGAGCCGACCAGTAGATGATCCTGCCACAGAGGGGAGGAGACAGACGGCTTTCAGATCCCAGTTTGGGGAGGATGATTCTAGCTTGTGTGGGCTTAACCCAGGTAGTGTCACCTGGTATTTCTCTTTATCTCCTTTCACCACTTCCTCCCCTGCAGTTTGAACCCTGGGGAGAAAAGCAACAATAAATTTCATTTAAATGCACAATGACCCTGACTGCTGTTGGCAATCTGCTGAACGTAACTTTCTTTCCCCCTGCAACCCTGCAAAATAAATCCCTCCGGAGAACCAGTGCAGAGGGCTTAGACCCTTGTGGTGTTCAGGTGGATGTAAATACAAAACAGTCTTTTGAATAAATAGGAGCAGACCTGGAGTTGCTATTATAAAACGTGTACATAGATTATGAAATGATAATACTGATTATTTCTGTTGTTTTGTCTTCTGTACGCTTTAAAACACCAAAAAGAAGCAGCATTTGAAAGTAGTCATAGCTGCCTAAGGAACCACTGTGACATTTGATTTTATTACTCTTCATGTGATATGCCAGCTGTTCAGTTCCTGAGTTAAATGAGGAAATGAACACATCTTTATGCCTGTAGTGGATCTTTCTGGTTTCCTGGGTACTTGGCAGGAAACTCAGAAAATTAAAGTGCTGGTTAATTTGGGCTGTCCAGGTACACTTAGGAATAGTTAACTGATAAGATTATCAATTAATGTCAAAGTCTTTAAAATCAAGGAAAAGGCATGGATTCCACTACATATTAAAAGTGTAGGAAGGTCAAAGGGGAAGATAGTTGTAAATCAGTTGCTCAGATGCTTCCTATGTATTATAAGTTTCTGAGGAACCCTGTCTCATTTCCTTGGATACCCAGTGTAACACCAAGCAGGTGTTCAACAAACATCATCCAAAAACCAAACCCATTGCCACTGAGTCGATTCTGACTCATAGCGACCCTGTAGGACAGAGTAGAGCTGTCCCACAGAGTTTCCAAGGATGTAATCTTTACAGAAGCAGACTGCCACACCGTTCTCCCATGGAGAAGCTGGTGGGTTCGAACTGCCAACCTTTCAGTATGCAGCCAGGCGTTTAACCATTGCACAGCCAGGTCTCCTCAACAAGCATTATCTGAGTTAATTTGAAGGATGAGTCATGTCTTTAGTCTATTTTGTGAAAGTTCTTTCTTTTTTTTCTTCTGAAAGTACGATAAAAACCAAGAAGAGGGAAAGGAACCAAAGAGAAAGTTAGTATACCAAAGCATTCTGCTATTTATTCTTTGTTTTGTGGCTGTAAAACTCAGATTAATTTTACAGGATTTATGCTCGAGATTAGGGTGACATCAAGAATAAAAAGCTTTTTTTATGACACTAAAGAGCTTGTATTTTTTTTTAATAATGTGTTATTTCTTGTTATCAAAATGGAGTTGTCACCAAAATTTGGGAAATAGGGAAAAGAACAAATAAATGATCTTTGACGTTCATAATATCTACAGAAGTGTGCAGATTATGCCTCAGTCCCTAGAATGCAGTCTCAGACTTCAGCTTGTTGCTGTAAGATCTTCTTTCACACTTGTATGAAAGGTCTCTCAAAATTATACTGGGTCAAAAAATAAATACATAAAGGAAGCATCAACAAATTTTGAACTCTAGTTAATGATATACTGAAGTGTGTAGAGGTACTAATATCTGCAACTTACTTTGAAATGTATCAGAAAGGTAAGAATGGACATATGGATGGAGAGATGTGTGATAAAGCAAATATAGCTAAATGTTGTAGAGTCTAGGTGGCCAGCATCTGGATGTTTAATTTTTAAATAATAAAATATTGGGGGGAAAAGAAACTTGTATGAAAGTACAAAACTTATGACTGGTAAAAATTTTCACCCAGTTGCTTTGAGCAGAAGGTATCATTTCACTAGCATATGAAAAATAATCCTTAACCCTATAGAGAATTCATGAACACTTTGTTACAAGATCTGGAAGCTTCTTGCTAAGTAAAGGCCTCT